GGCTGGTGAGTGCTCCCTGTCTGAGGATGCGGCTGGTGAGTGCTCCCTGTCTGAGGGGCCGGTGAGTGCTCCCTGTCTGAGGATGCGGCTGGTGAGTGCTCCCTGTCTGAGCGGCTGGTGAGTGCTCCCTGTCTGAGCGGCTGGTGAGTGCTCAGCCTGGGGTGGAGAGGAAGGACAGGAACTGTGCTCAGTGGCGTGACACCCTCTTGGGCTGGGAAACAGGGCACAGACTCCTCCGTCCAGGGCCGGTCGGCCCTGCGCCTTGCCCACGTGTCCAGAGAGGAGGGCCCAGGCATGCTGTTCTGGCAGCTCAGGAGTCTCAGGTTTTAACCCTGAGGTGAGGAGGCACCTGAGGAGGAGGACAGTGGTGTCAGGGTTCTTGGGTGCCAGTGAGGGGCGGGCCAGCTGTCCCCTCCCGCAGGGTTGATGGCCCGGACTCCGGGGTTGTGTTCTGGGACCTGCTCGGACCTCTTTCCCCATGGGGTCTTCCTTCTTGAGGCGCAGTCCTCCTTACACACCCTGAATCACGACTGCCTCCCGCCTCCTGCGAAGAGCTCCCCAGACCTCTGTGGGGCCTGCCCTTAATCACAGAACCTACGACGGTCAGCACCAGGCGAGCTCTGTGGAAGGCTCTGGGTCCTCAGCCTCCAGAGGTGGAGTGAGAGGCAGGGCAGGGCTTCAGGGTCCAGGCCCCTCACAGGGAGGTCATGGCGCACAGCCCACAGCTCTTCTCTGCTGCCTTTTGTCTTAGGGTCCATGTAGGCTGGATGTGGGGTGAGAGATGGTGGGGCCTCAGAGTCCACAGAAAGAAGCTAGAAGAGGGGTTGTGGAGGGGCCTGAGGACCCCGTAGGTGCGGCATGAGACTGCTTGTTCCGTGCCACTCTGGTCATGGCTTCCCATGCTTCTGTTCAGAGAAGGATGTGCAGGATAGGTCTGTGGATGGCGTAGCTGGGCCCAGCACGCAGATACGTTGTGGTTTTGCCTCTCCTCCCACCCAGCTGTCCATAGGGGACAGGGCAGGGGAGGTGCTATGAGTGGGAGAAGGCAGGTGAGTGGACATCCAAGGTGAGAAGCTTCCAGAGGGTCCTGGAAGGCAGGAGGCTTGGGTGTTAGAAGGGGTGGGGTGAGACTAGCCCCAGGGAGTGAGGCTTGACAGGTCCCTCCTCCCTGACTCAGACTTCTGCGGGTGGTATACCTGTTCTTTGTGGTAAGCATTCACTCCAGAGACCAGGTGAACCTTTATCTAGGAAACCTCAGATTCCAGACTATAGGGTGTGGTTATATCTGGCCGGCAGGGCAGGGGTTCCGGTGTGAGTGGCGTTCGCGTGCTCCCCCGTGGGTCATCTGAGGTCCAGCCGTGTGAGCTCTGCCTCTCAAGTGTTTTCCTCTCAGGTTTGGGACATTTCCAGGGCTGGAGGTTTAAACTGTTGGGAGACAAATAGAATTTGCTCGACCCTGCCCAGTCTGGAGATCTGAGAAGCCATTTGCTGACCGTAGTCCTACCACACGGGCTCCCAGGGTAGACGAGAGCCGGAGCCTGAGAGACAGGCTGGAGGCTGCGCCCAGGGGAGCCCGTGGCAAGGGCCAGCAAGCATTGGCAAGGCCGTCTTGGCTCCCTGTCTCTGGGGGCTCTGTTCACCTGCTCCCTACTTTCATAGCCGCAGGTGGCTGAAGTCCAGCGCCCCCCAGGCCACTGGCTGTCTGCACATTCAGCCTGACCAGCACTGAGTGACATACTCATTCAGGATGTGGCTGGACGCTGGACAGAGGGGTCTAGTGTGGGGCTTCCTTCCCAGGGACTGCACTCTTCCCTCATCTTTTCTTTTCTGTCTGCTTAATGAGAAGATTTCCCCCACCCCACCCAGGACAGAGGATCAGAGTCTTACCTTTGGAGAGAAGGGACCTTTCCAGGGGTAGTACTGCAAGAGTGTAACCAAGAAGAGACCTTTGTCCCTGCAGAGTCCTCCTCCTCCCTGTGACCCCGCAGAGTCCTCCTCCTCCCTGTGACCCTGCAGAGTCCTCCTCCTCCCTGTGACCCTGCAGAGTCCTCCTCCTCCCTGTGACCCTGCAGAGTCCTCCTCCCTGTGACCCTGCAGAGTCCTCCTCCTCCCTGTGACCCCGCAGAGTCCTCCTCCTCCCTGTGACCCCGCAGAGTCCTCCTCCTCCCTGTGACCCTGCAGAGTCCTCCTCCCTGTGACCCCGCAGAGTCCTCCTCCTCCCTGTGACCCCGCAGAGTCCTCCTCCTCCCTGTGACCCCGCAGAGTCCTCCTCCTCCCTGTGACCCCGCAGAGTCCTCCTCCTCCCTGTGTGACCCCACAGAGTCCTCCTCCTCCCTGTGACCCCGCAGAGTCCTCCTCCTCCCTGTGACCCTGCAGAGTCCTCCTCCTCCTTGTGTGACCCCGCAGAGTCCTCCTCCTCCCTGTGACCCCGCAGAGCTCTCCTCCAAGTCATGAGTCAGCATCAGAGAGGAGCACTGGGATGTACGGGCGCTCTGCTGTCCAGTCCCTTTGGGTGGTGGCAGCTTCAGCTGGCCACAGCTGGCAGCCGCCTGTGCCTGCTTCCCTGATGGTCAAGAGAAGGAATTCTGGGCCACGCAGCGGAGGGCGGGCAGGATTCTGGGAGAAAGGCACGGGCTCGTGGCCCACCAGCTTGGCAGGTTTGGAAACTGTGCACGCCAGCCCCCAGGCTAGAACGGCGTTCTGAAGGGCCATTCCTTCTGAGCGTCCACAGGCTGGAGGGCCAGCTTGCTGCGGTAGCTCTGGAAGCCTGCAGTACCTCCCGCCTCCGCCACAGGTGGATGGGTGGATGGGCAGCTGCAGCTCCGGAGGCCGGTCTTGGGTCAGACCCGCCCTCCGCCTCCGGCGGCTCTCGGCCTCCTCCCCTCCTCCAGGACACCCACGGCAGGTCCCGCTCCACTCCTCCTCTGACCCCTTTTTACTTTCTACGAAGTTCCACACTGTTTTCTCAGCCCCAGAGGGCCGGCTCAGTGTGATGCCCAGAAACGCAGCAGAGATGTAGCCTGGAATGGAGAGAAAAAAAATCTTTTTAGGGTCCCATTTTTGCTTTTTTGGCCACCCTGTTTCCTCCAGCTGAAGTTCCTTTCCTCAGAATCTACCTGAGGAGACCTCTGTCCCCTCGTGGCCATGCATCTTGGCGGCTCCCTCAGCCCCACTGTATCTGGGTTCGAGCCTGGGTTTGCCATGGCCTCTGAGCCTCAGGTCCACCCTTCCGGGCCTCCAGCTGGGCTCTGAGTGGGTCCACAGCCGCCGGCATTCCAGCCCTCAGGGATGCAGCTTTTTGCTTCATTCAGTTTTCTTTTCTAATTCCTTTTTTTTGTTGTTGTTCTGGGGCTTGAGCTCAGGGCCGGGGCACTGTCCCTGAGCATTTTTGCTTAAGGTGAGTGCTCTCCCATTTTGAACCATAACTCCATTTCTGGTTTTCTGGTAGTAAATTGGATATAAAAGTCCTGCAAACTCCCCTGCCTAGGCTGGCTTCCAGCAGCAATCCTCAGGGCTCAGCTTCTTCAGTAGCAGTGCCCGGCTCTGTTTTTATTTCCCTACCAAAATTTGTTCCTTCCTTCTAGGTTGTCTTGAATACATAACGGGCCCTGGATGAGTCTTGGAGGTTGACACGAGGGCCAGCGCTCAGGGTCAGGCCTAGGTGTCTGATGGGTTTAGCTATGGTCTCTGCCCAGTTCTTCAATCTCCATGCCTCTGATTCTTTAGACTGAGGAAGACTGCAGAGGGTATTGAAAGGGTTTCCCTGATGAATACAAGGACTTATGTGTGCCTCAAGAGTATTGCCACTGTCTTTATTACTTCCCTTAAGGTCCACTACCAGACTAGCAGCAAAGGACGCGGGTACTCTGTGAGTGGAGCAGAGTCTGAGATGCCGGGGTGGGGCTCGACTGGGCTGCGGGTGTGTGAACTGTGGTGTGCCCTAGTGGGGAACCTGTGCCCATGAACACAGGGAGGCGGTGCTGAGTGGTCAGGAGACGTGGGGGTCCTGCCTCGGGGCAGTGGGGGTGGCCATGGCACCAGGGCGGAGGTAACCCCTGTCTCTGCTTCTCCCCAGGATGATACGGAGCCCTATTTTATCGGGATCTTTTGCTTTGAGGCGGGCATCAAGATCATCGCTCTGGGCTTTGTGTTCCACAAGGGCTCCTACCTGCGGAATGGCTGGAACGTCATGGACTTTGTGGTGGTCCTCACTGGGTAGGTGGGCCTGGCTGGGCGCGCCGTGCGCGCGTGGGATCACTCTGCGGGGCTGCGAGGGAGGTTCGCAGTGCAGAGGCAGGGCCCTGGTGGGAGGGGACTCTTCCTCCCCAGGGGTGTCTGTACTGTGCTTTTTGCTGAAAGGCTGTTCTCAGTGGGTAAGTTTGCGGAGAGAGACTTTCAGGGAGGAGGCTCTCACCTGTCTGAGACCTTGGGGAGGCACTTCACAGTTTGGGGAGCTACGTGAGCTGTCTTCCTGAGATCTCTGAGTGGGCCTTGCATCTTCTCATCTCTGTCCTGGGAATTGCTTAGTCAGCGTGTCTGTCTACTACTTCCTCCTCCTGACCAGCATGCCCCGCCCTGGCAGCCCAGGCGTCCGGGAAGCCGTCCTGAGTCCTCACAAGCCTTGGCTGCATATGGTCTGAGGGGCACTTGAGGTCAGCGTAGTGTGTCTGCTGTGGAGCTGGTGGAGCTGGTGCTGACCCCAGGGTGACGCTGCTCTGACAGCCTGCTTGCCTGGCCCAGCTCCCCGGGCCCCCCGGGCTGGGGTGGCCGTCTGACCTTCTCTGGGCCTCTTGTCTCTGAAGGCTCAGAACCCAGCCTGGGGAGCGGGAGCAGCCACTGTGGGTGGGAGAGGCTCTTTCAAGGGGCAGTGTTGTGGCAGAATCTGTGTCTCTTGTACACTGACTGCCCCATGTGGCCTGGTACATGTGGAAGAGTTGAGGGAGGAGAAAGGGACTCTCTAGGAGCCTTGGTCTGGGGCACCAGCATAAAGAAAGTCTGGTAACCGTCTCCAGGCTCCTGAGAAAGCCCTGAGAGGGCCTGTCCCCCGCCCTGCTGCCTGTGCAGGCTTTGAGGACCACATTTGCAAGCTTACAGAGGGGGGAGGGTCCCTAGAACAGTCCGGGGCACGCCCAGGCAGCCCAGGGGCCTTGTGCTGCTTGGTGAGTGCTTGGGAACACCTTGTGAGTTGCTCCCTGCCCTGAGATCCTGGCACTTAAGGAGTTCATGGAAAGCCCTCTGTGTCTCTGGGGAGGTCTGGTGCTGTCGGTGGGGAGAGCGCGCGAGCTTGGAGACCCAGCACTCTCCCCCCGTTCAGGGCCGCTGTTTACAGCTTTCTCTCCCTCTAGATACAGGTCCCTGAAGAGAAGAGCAATGTCTCTGTTTTTCAGGGTTTCCCCTGAGCCCAGCCTGGGGTAGGTACTTGGGGGCGGGGAATGAGTAGCTGGTGTCTGGGGCCTGCTAGACCGGCTCGTAGCTGCTGCCCAAGGAGCTGGCTTCACTGCCTGCACCAGCTGTATCTTCCAGAACGCAGATTGGGTTTGGCTGAATGAGGTCCTGAGATGGGGGTAGCCCAGGGCTGGTCAGGAGGGGAGACTGGGAGCTGTGCTTTGGGGAGCCCCAGTGAGGATTCCCAGGCACCGGGGGCCGTGAGGAGGAGGCAGGGCTGTGTCTCTTTTCTGCTTCTTGTGTCCCTGCCAGTGTTTTTCTTGCCCCCACTCCCACCCACCGTGGTTCTCCCTCTCCTCCTGCTGTTCCCACCCCTCTTCTCACTCAGCCTCCTGAACCGTGTCTTTTCCTAGCTTCTGCTGTGTTTGCAGGAGGTCTGGTGTAGGTGTTGGTTCCAGGCTCCTCTCTGCACTGCATCCTTTGAGGTGTGCTGGGTTGTAAGGGAATCTTTAGGGGGGTGGGGGTGGGGGTGAGGGGGGGGTCCTCTGTGTCCCTTGGGACCACAGTCACATGGGGAGTTTCTCGTGGGCTCCCCCACACACGTGTACTTACGTGTAGGACTGCGTGTGGGGGAGGTGCTGGTCTGTGGGGACTCAGGGAAGAACCCTGTCCCTCCCCCTCCTGAGCTGGGGTCCCCATGGCCGTGATGTGTCCAGGACGGGGGAAGAGGTTCTCTTGTGACTTTGTTTTTAATTAGGTTATTTAATTGGTGCTCAGAGGGCTAGACGCACAGTGGTGGAGGCAGGAAGCGCCGTAGTGTGTTGCCTGGAGAAACCTCTGGGGTCCCCAGGGCCAGCTGGGCTCGCCCTGCGTCTGAGCTGGTGTGCAGGTGGGGAGATGCCAGAGGGGCTTCGTCCCTACTTCTCTCCCAGAGACGCCAAGGCTCAGCACCCATCATTGGCCACCTCACCCTTTTTTTTTTATGGTCAGTTGTGGGGCTTGAACTCTGGGCCTGGGCACTGTCCCTCAGCTCTTTGGCTCAAGGCGAGTGCTCTACCACTTGAGCTACAGCGCCACTTCTGGTTTTCTAGTGGTTTATTGGAGATAAGAGTCTCCCGGACTTTCCTTCCTGGACTTTCCTGTCCAGCCTGGCTTTGAACGTGATCTTCAGACCTCAGCCTCCTGAGTAGCTAGGATTACTGGCCTGAGCCACTGGCGCCCTGCTTTACCTCACCCTTTTCTCAGGTCTTTGTCATGTTATCTGCACCAGTGGTTGGTGGGTACAAACGCTACCCTTGGCTTTGCCTGTGCTGAGCACCTGTTGCCCTGGGGATGTGGGTGGGGTCTGGGTGAGATACCAGAGCCCCAGTCCAGCCTGCCCCTGGGGATGTTGAAAATTCCTGGGGACCCAGACCTTCTCCAAACACTAGCAGTGTGGTGGAGGGGTGTGGTCCTCGGCCCCTGAAGTGGGTAGAGGGCTGTGGGCCTGGGCCCCTGGGGTGGGTAGAGGGGTGGAGAGGTGTGGGTGGGTGGAGGGGGGTGGGCCTGGGCCCCTGGGGTGGGTAGAGGGGTGGAGAGGTGCGGGTGGGTGGAGGGGGTGGGCCTGGGCCCCGGGACCGGTGGCTGGGAGCTGGGTCTCTCAGTTGTAACCCCTGTTCCCTGATGAACCAGCAGGGAAGTGCCACAGACTTGTGTCCCTTGGTGGGGTAGTGAGGCGCCTCTCAGGCCCTGCTGCCCCTCCCCCTCACTGTCTAGTCTACTGCAGCGTCTGCGTGGACTGGATGTACCGCCATCAGAGAGTTTGGCCTGGGACCAGGACCCCAGCACTTCCTCTCCCAGGAAAACTCGGTGTTATGTGGGGGTAAACTGAGACCCAGAAGTTGGGTTGAGCCTACTGGAGGAAGTAGGAGGAGAGCTGCTGTCCTGGTTTAGACGGGGTCATCTGTCCTGCTGTCCTGGTTTAGACGGGGTCATCTGTCCTGCTGTCCTTGCCCATCCTTCTGTACAAGAACTCTCTGCCCCGTCCGCTTCCTGTCTGTCTGCTCCCCTGCACACTTCTCTGTCGGCCACCTGAGCTGCTGTGCTGCTGATGCTCACACCATCATTCCGTGAAATAACTCATGTTCCATGTCTGCCCAGCCCCTGCCTGTAAGGGTGAGCAGCTTCTTCAGTCTATTTCTTCTTGGCACAGTCAGCTTCTGATACCTGCACAGGCATGCTGCATGATGTGTGTCCCCACCTCCTAACCCTAACCCTAACCCTGTTCAAATGTGAAACTAGGGCAGGTGCGCCTCATAGCTGGGTTTGTTGTCTTGGTAGACACATAATAAAACCATTCAGCCTATGAAAAAGTGAGTGATTGCCTGTGGTGAGGGCAGCCAGGGAAGGGCTTGGCTTCAGGGGCCTGCAGGCTGGAGGGTAGGCCCTGCTCCCTGGGAAGAGCTGTGGCCACAGTGCTGGCTAAGGGTGTGGGTGTGAAGGGCGTGGGGAGATGGAGCGACCCCCAGGTTTCTGGAGCTGTGGGCTGCCTCGGCAAGGCAGCTGAGGCCCCGTGGAGGTGAAGGGAAGGTGATGTACCCTGGGCGGGGTGGGTGTGGGAGTGGGGACCTTTGCACACACTGGCTTCTGACTGCCCGCCAGGAGGTTGTAGTAAGGTGGGGAGGAGTAGGCAGTGCTGGAGGGGAGATCAGGGCTCACAGTGTTCGGTAGGTTTGGGGTTTACTGCCTGCTTAGGCATGGACAGGCATGCCCCAGAGAGGCAGACAGAGGGACCAGCACTGGAGCTCTGTCTAGGGCCCCAGGTAGTACAGGTCTGTATATCTGCAGCAGGTGTCTAGAGGACCTACCTAGGTATAGCCGGGTAGACAGGCTGCAGTACTTCTAGACTGTATCTTCTCGCACTGAATTTGTAGGCAAGTAAATAAGGTGTAGTATGTGAAGATGAGCTGGGTGATTCAGTAGTTAGGAATGAGAAGACGTAGGAGACACATAGGAGAAACAAGAACATAGGAGAGACAAAAATGAGATGGAGGAGACAAAGTGGAGCAGAGCAAGGAGCAGATGACAGGGGAGATGAGGCTGAGTGAGTGGGTTTCCCTGTGTCTCCCTGCTGCCCTCCCGTCTGCTCAGCCCCTTGCTCTGTACCCTGGGGGGGCTTTCTGGGGAACCCGTCCCTTCTCCCTGCTCAGACCCTTGCTCTTGTGGAGGCTTTACCCTTCAGGGATCAGGAGCACGCTGTCTGCCTGTGGGACACAGGGTGGTTCTGGTGGTGTGTCCCTCCACCGGGGCCAGAGATGTCCCTACATTTAGCCACGGTGAGGAGCTGGGGAGGATTTAGGAAGGCCACTGATCCAGTGCCTCTGGGCATAGGATGGCCGGGCTGGACACCCTAATGGACACAGGGTGGAGAGCACCGTCGTGGTGAGGTGAAAGCCAGAGACAGCAAGCCCGCCAGGCGGGGGCCGGGAGAAAGGCCTCACGGCGTCTGGCTGCATTCAAGAAGCTCTCTGGATACTTTGCGAAGGCAGAGTCCAGTCCAGCCCCCTGGAGTCTCCTCAGTCCAGTTCTCACACCCCAGCTGCTGCCCCCAGCCTGAGCCGCAGCCCCGTGATGAGCCCTGTCATATGCTTTGGCCTGGAGGGGTTGGGTTCCCAGATGTTAGGACAGCCCAGGTGTCCACAATCCCTCTCTGGTGCTTTTCTTCATGGTCTTGGGGACGGCAGAGAGCGGTGTCCTGACTCAGGCAGGTGTCTCTCTAGGGGACATTTTCAACCACAGCTTCTCATTTTACTCCAAATTAAACCGAGCCTTCTTTCCAGGACATGTAATTA